GGAAATGTGAAAGATTTGCTGAAAAACCAATTTCTTGGTTGTGAGAATTTTTGAAGATTATTTCCTTCCTTTCTAGAGGTCGTTCACTTACGCCTTAACATTTATGTAGAAAAAGGGTCAAAAAAAAGTATCAAGCTGTGTGGAATAGGAAAGGGATATTCAAAAAATTTATATCACAAAAGTCTTTAATATTCATCCAAAAAACTATGTCATTATGCTGAAAAAATAATTCAAAACATTTTCTGTGAGAAAAGCGCAATTCCTATTTACTTAGTAATAACTTTTTTATCTTGTTAAATATAACACAATTGAGGAGGGGTCATCACCGGAAGTTAAAATGGAAAAATAATCTTAATATCTTGTTGATTTTACAGCAAAATTATTTTTGCATTTACACTCAAAGTCGCAATACAATTTTACATTTATAGCTTTTAACCAAAGAAGCGAAATAAGAAGAAAAATAAATTCGTTGTAATTTTTATGGCACCACGAAAAAAAATCTTTGTTGACTATATTGGAATTGTCCGTTACGCGCCGTGATTCAACAAAAAATAATATTTTAATGGACAATTTATATCCGAAACGAAAGAAAAAGTTGTCTTTTAAGTAAAATTCACAGATTTTTTTAATGCGATAAAATTTTCTTTTTGCACGTGTTTCTCTATTCAACAAAGAACCAGTTGACTAGATACGAGTTACACGTGATGAACGCATCATAAATTCTCATACGTATATCATATAGATAAAATAGTTTTATTCCACTTGAATTCATCTCATAAATAAAGTACACATAAAAAAAATCGTTGCAATGAATTAAATTTTTTGACATCTTCTGAAATAGATGAAAACTTGTTTTAATAACCTTATTATATACGCACAAATGTTACATTTGCCAAGTGTTTTGAAACTAATCCTTTCGTTTCTTTTGTGATTTTTTTTCACCCTTAAGAAAAAAAAAGAATTTCTAAAGAAAAATTGCAACTGTGAATGAAAAAAATATGCAATACATTATTTTAGAGACGTCAAAAACCATCAATTTTTTTTTGGAAGGATGGAAAAAAATTTACATTTTATCGCATTCTTTTGATTCCGTCAAAAGAAACAAAAAATTTGAATGCAGTCAATTTGATTTGAATCATTAAGCGAAACAAATTTATTCAACATTTTTCTATTCATTTCGCCTTAATTTAACGGTTTTCTTATCTACCTATGCATTAACTTTATTTCTTCTTCATTTCTTATTCTCATGTGTTTTCATGCCATAAATTGTAAACGATCAAATTCACAAAGAAATGCACCATGCGACATGTAAACAACAGAAATCAAAAATGCAAGGGTTGAAGGAAAAAATTGCAAATCAAAAATATTTATGAAAGAATTATTTCTCAGTGATTGGACACATAATAAGAAAATATGCATTCAGATGCTAATTTGAAACTGTTTCTTTTATGGTTATGAATTGCTTTCGTAAGTAAGGGTTGAGCGAGAAAAATTTCTTTTCAATCTTGATGATAGAAATTTTTATAGAATTCAATAGAAATCACTCATCGCACATGAATCGGAATTAAAGGTAAAGTACGAAAGTCATCGATGATTTAGTGTCTTAATGTGTGGCGTTCTTTTTTAACAGAAATTGTAATTTAAACTTGAATAAACAACTACGCAATCAGCAATTAAAAAACGGTGGGAGGGAGTGGATTTTGACATTGAAATTCGAAATCAAAATGAAGAAAATTGTGTTGAAAAGGAGGATTTAACCTCTAATTCTGGCTACGCGCTTGAATTTAAGAATTTGAAATTCGGTTCAATCATCTCGAAATCTTCTAAAATTTTGTGCAAAATCGAATTGATTAAATAACCAAGGTGACATATTGCTCTAAAATTGACAACTAGGTGATGCCAGTTAGTCAACAACGAGGTTTTGGACATTTAAAATGCAAAAAAATTAAAGATCTTGGACAAAGTGTAACTTTCTTCTCAACATCTCTCAAAAAACCTTGAACATGCAAAAAAAAAATAATATTTTTATGTGAAAAAAAAAATCTTCAAATTCCCTTTTAATAAATTCTTATTCTTACTATTGTGAAAAATGTATTTTCAACTTCAATGACTATCATCTTAAACGTCATTATTTTATTGTATCAAAAAAATATTAAATTGATTGTTTTCTTCTTATTTTGCATCACAATGATGTAGATATAACAGATAGATTTGAATATAAGCTTCTTTCCTACTGAGTGCAATTTAACAATAATCATCATTTATAATAAAAGTGAAATAAAATAAAAATAAAAAGAATTGATTGCATAATAACAACCATTAAGGTTTTCTCCTCTCTCGCTTGATGTGTGTTTATAAAATATAATAATAATGCACTATGCGACGTTAGAATTGTGAAGACGAGAAATACGAGACTTTCTTCTCTATAATTTTCTTCACTTCAATATCAAGAAATCATAAATCATCATAGAATCATAATAGAAAGTGAATGTTGATTTTTTATGTGGAATATGAAAATTAGTTCTATGTGGATTATGCAATATGTTAAAATGTGAAGATGGGAAAAAACGCATAAAACATTCCACTGATGCTGTGAACGACTTAAGACGAGAAACTTGTTTGAAATCAAAGACTTTTTTTTAACCCTTTCAATGCACGAATCATCTCTTTATGCAGTTGTTTTGTAACTAGCTCCTTTAATGCATTATTTTATTTTTTTTTGTTAAACAAAAGAATTGTGTTAGAACTTGCGGTAAAAAAATCAACAAAAAAAAAATTCGTCTATTGTTATTTAATGAGAACTCGTTTTACTTTTGACGGAATAATTTATGTCTTAACAAATTTTATTGTAAAACGAATATAGATTTTTAAGATAAACTGCTTTTAATGAATTTAAGAATATAATAATCGAACGTTGTTTTCTAAGAGTTCTAATAAAATTTCCGCTATTAAAGATTTTTTTCTACTTCCCTTATTTTTAATAGCACTAATATTCAGTTTTAAAGAATCATTTGAATTTTTATATTTCTTAGAAATCTCATAAAATCTTGCATTAAGTATGCAGAAATAATGTCTATTTATACAATGGATTTATATGTGGATGCATTTTACTATATTTGAAGGTCATCTGAGTATTACTACATGTTTACTATGCAGATTTGCATGACTTAATATTTGCAGCATTGAATATTGTTCCATATTTTCAATACAAATATACTCAAAAATTTAAAAAAAAATCAAATGCTGATGGCGATTATTTGTTGATGATGCTCTACATTCGTCAATTGCAGATGATGAATGTCAGAACTATGGACATAATATGAGTATTTTAATAAATATTTGTTGCTGATTTAATGCGAGTTTCACGGAAAATTTTATCAAAGATATTGCAGTAAAGTTTAAAATTTCAATTTGAGTGCTTCATTGGATTCAGAATATTTAATAACGATGCTTGATAGAATGTTAAATGAGAAGAAATTAAAATATCATATGACACGAAATGTAAGTATGATTTTTGATAAATGTGCTGAACATATAGCAGAGCACTAGTAGCCTTCGTCATTCAATGCAATTTAAAACTTATATCAACAATCAATAGTGATGATTTTCAATCTGAATACATAAATGATAAGCACAATGCGTTTTAATTTTATTTAAGCAGTTTTAATTAAAGAATCCAGCTTAATTCCAAATTATATTTGACAAGTCAAATGTCAGCTAAGCTATTAATCAGTTCTTCATATTTCAGCACGAAAAAGTTATTATCGTCCTTTAGAACAGCAATAAGCTTGATTTCTTCTGGGAATTTAGTTGAAAATGATTCTTAAAAGACTTGAGTCCAAGAATTAATGTCTAAATTGATGCACAAAAAATTTAATAATTTCAAAATTATCTTATAACTTGATAAAATATTCAATGGCTTTATTTTAAAAGAAGCAACTGGAATGGAAAGTTTAATTCAATAAATGAGACATTTTATATAACTTGTCCAAGAACTTAATTTGATTAAATTAGATTTCTCAACTCTCCTAGAGATTTCAATGTCATTTTGAAGAGTAATCTTCGTACCAGATTATTTTTCATAGCCATAACGACTTTATGATGATGATAAGTACTTTAATGCTTTAATGTTTTCATGACAATTTTAGCACACAGACTTGCCTCGAATTCTATTTACTAGATTTCATAACATACTGAAAATTCAACTTTTAAATAAAATCTATTGTCACTTTAAAATATTACATTTGATGTAGTGATAGTGATTCACATATTGACAAGTCTATTCATTCATAAATAAAATATCATTCATTCATAAAAAAGTTATTACTCAATGATTATTTACTTATGCCTATGTAACTTTTTGTGTTAAAATATTTTAACGTATTCTTTGGTTGACAGTCCCAGTTGGAAATATCTGCGATTTAACACTTTAATTTATTCAGCGTCAGAGCAGAAGGGCATCTGGGGTATCGAACCATATATAGGCAAATCTGTAAGTGCAAGATTTAGGCCTCTTTGGCGTAAGTAGTTTGCCAACATTTTGATATCTATAACCCTCTTTTGTGACGACGTGGGATTACCTTCGGTTTGGGATTCTTACCAGAGACTGATCCCACAATCATTATATAGAGTGTTGACGATATGACAAGGATATTCGCACAATGCTAACATATTACAACTTATTTTGACATTACTTTAACTCAAACAACCACTGACTGGGTCAACCTCTTTTGTTTTAAAGAAAAATAATTTTTCCAAGTCCCCTCACTCATCACGACGGTGTCAGTTGTGTCAAAACTTTAGTTCGCATTAAACTCACTTATCTTGAATTTCTTATTTGTTCCAAATAATAAGTAAAAATATTCTCGTTGAGCAAATTTTAATTGACGTAATCAATATTTTTTACCTTACATTTTTGTAAAGAAGGAAATGTACGTTAAAAAGAGCAAATAGACATAAAGTCTCATATTTTCCAAATAAAATTCGATTTCAACGATGACCAGTGTTTCAGTCTATGTCTTACTATAGAATCGTTGTGACATGAATTTAAGAGAGCTTTAATTAAAGAAAATGATGATGATTGTGAAACTTGGAATTTTAATTATTTTATTCGTTGGACATGTGCATTGTGAACAGAATAAAGACGAAGTTGCTAGAGTGACACAATTAAATGAGAATAATTCGACAATTAAGAACATTTCGTACACAAACAATGGAAATTTTATGTTTCCAAATTCAATGCAACAGCAACAACAATATCCCGCATACGAGCATCCTCAAATGATTGGTCAGTGCGGTGGAATTTTTCGTAATCTTCAAAATCTAATAGAATCACCAAAGTTCATAAGTGCACGTCCGATATGTAATCTTAGATGTGAGTATCAGATTATCTCACCGTACATCTGTGAAAATGAGTTTCATGTGCAATTTTTGGAATTCTCACTTGACGCGTCGCCCAATTGTGAACGTGACAAAGTTATAATAAATTATTCGGACGTTTTATGTGGAAAAGTGATAGGTATGAAGAAATATCGAACAGTTGGTGGCGTTCTTAACATAACATTCTCATCTGGTGGTTGGGATTCTGTTGGAAATGGATTTAAGCTATTAATTACTCGATTGCCGTGTATTGATGAATCAAAGGATATTCAAACAGAAATGACAACAATTAAATTCGAACCAGAAATGATAACATTAAGCGACGATATTGACGATGATGACTTGTATAATGTTAATGCATCTTATACTGTTGCTGATCCGCCTCATGAAAATCAACGCCCTATCTATGGTGTTCCGGCTGTATACAATATTTCTATGGACGTTGAATTGAACAACAGACAAGACATTCCTGTACTTCCTCTACCGCCTCCATCCACAACACAAACACCTTTTTATCCACCATTGCCGCCAGTCACATTACCACCACCTATATTACCGCAATGCTGTAGAAATGGATATAATCAGCAAAGATTTCTCATGTTGAGTCAAGGATTTCCAGCTCATAGTGTTCTATATAATGATTGTATTTACGTTATACATAAGAGTTCATTAAATGCGTGTCGATTAAGAATTCATTTCAAGTATTTCCTACTTGATGATGCTGCTCAACAGCAAGGACAATTGGGATGTATGAATAATTTTATTGAAATTGATGGTCAGAGGATATGCGGATGTAAAACGAATTTTGTATATGAGACACAGTGGGGATTAGAACCAAAAGTAATTCGACTTCGAACAACACCTGGAAGGTATTCGCAGCCACAGGGATTTATCTTTGAAATTGAACAATTAGATTGTCCATTTAAAATTCAATTGGCACCAAGAAGACAGAAGAGAACCATAATATTGAAAAAATTACTATTTCTTCCACATCTATTGAAAAATCATTTAATTGGACATCAGCCGGATCCACAACAAGACTTTATAGACCCGGAGGAAAGTTTTCGAGCGAAATTCAACCAAGCTAATCCACAATACATGACTAATGTTTGCTCGTTGAACTATTTGAAATTGATTCAATTGAAAATTGAATCTTTTGGGATTTTAAAGCACTTCTGTTTACCCTTGTATTGATTATATCATCAGTATTGGTATTAATTTACAAAAACAAATATTTGTATTAAGGTCAATAGTTACTAAAAGAAATCACATCTGATTAATTTATTTCATTTTTTTAAAAAAATATGGAAAAAATAAAAAAGAATTAATTTGAAATTTGAGACGCAAAAGCCGTTTTGATTCATGAATTATTCAACAAGAGTCCCAATAGCGAGTAGTCAGTCTTTGAAATAAGAATCCATAGAAAAATACAATTGTCACTCATTAATTTTCTTTATCAGCATGCTAAAGGCATTTCAACAATAGAAATTTAATATCGTGAACGTCCTTGCGTGATAATAAAAAAAAATTTGAATTATTGTCTTTATAACCTGTACTTTAGTAGAAATATGAATCTTCATCTTCTATCTAAAATCACTTTCAAATACGAAAATTACCTATTGATGTGAAAAAACTAAATTAAAGTATCTTCTAAGGGATAAAATGTTGCAACCCTTATTTGTAAAATAATAGTCGAGTGAGAGAGAAATGGGATAGTGAAATAGATCAAGGTAATTTTTAGCGTCAGGTAAGGCGAGAAGGGAACATTTCGTTGAAATGTCTCGTTGTCGTTTTTTTTGGAAGGGTTCTTTGTAATGTTCTGTGAAGAATCAAGCATTTAATCTCATTTTTATTGCGAATATTTGCTGAATCGTCAAAATTTTGACATCCGTCGTCAAGAATTTTCATGAAGAGTAAATTGTTGGTAAGTTTCTTAAATGACTTAGGTTGATTCATAGCTTGTCATATAAAAATCGATTACATCTCATTCTTAGAAGTTAATTCGATTAAAGAAAATTTCCATCTTCAAATGCGTCTTATTTCTGAGAAAATTGTCGTTTACACTCCTTAGTCTCGTTCACCACTCGTTCATATGGGATGACAGAAGAGCCTGTGTGAAATTTATTTCTCATATATACAGTTTTTTTTTGCCTTCAACATTCCGGGCAATAATTTACGAACGTTTGCACACACATGCAAACAGAAAGTGTAAGAGAAATGAGAACGAAAAACCATTTTTGCTCTTTCGTAAATTACTTTCCATTCAAAAATTGAATCATGTGCTATATTCAATAGCAGCATGTGCCTTGAACTCTCGAATGCATAAACTACAAAAAAAAGCGTCTGGCAAATATTTGTTCCTCATATTCTGAACGGGTTGATCATGGAAGTGTGACAAAATTAAAAATGTTTTCCGGCTATTTTATTTATTTTTTTTGAACAATAGCAAAAGATTCATAAATATTTTTTTTAAATTGTATTAAAAAAATCTGAAATCATGTTATGAAATTTAATGCAGTGTAACAGGACAAGCATGGAGAAATTTTTTTACATCGCCGAAAATAAATAAAAAACACACACCACTCATTCATCTAACGAAAGTTATGAGTTTGGAAAACTATTAAAAGGGTGTTACTTTACAGATTTCATTTAATTTTTAAAAAATATATCATTTTGAACTATGAATGTTTAAAATAATTTTTCAATTTTGATTTGAAAACCGTTGAATGGCGATAAAAAAATGATACAGAAAAAAGGCACAAACTGTTGATATTTGCATTTGGATTAATTACATAAAAGAATTTAAATATTCATGATGCTCATCATCCCACAAAAAAAAAAAAATTTTATATCAAGAGATTTATCATCTATTGTTACTTAAGTAAATATTAGCATCCCAGCAAAAATATGCATTGCATTTATGTTAATTTTATCGGAATGATATTTAATTTCAAGCACTGATGCATAGAAAAACCTTTTTTAATTGAAGGTTTCGGAAGTGATTATGAGTCCCAAGTGTATGTAAGGATGTCAACAAAAAAATATTTATTCATCCTCTCTCTTTATATTCATGTATCTATTTTTAATGTCAGCAAAAAATGACATTAATGTTATGTATCTTTCTACTTCTCTATATTCAGATGACACAGAGTTTAATGTACATGTGTTTGTTGAATATCTTGCTTAATTGTGCGTATCTTTTAAAAGCAGATGGACTAGCGTTGCACACACAACGTCCCCAATCATAATAATAATATTTGTTTTTCTGAAATGTCGATAACAGATTTATTTCATCAATCGAGTGTGAGGTTTCTTGGCGATGTTTTGTAGACTGGAATAATAATGAGAACGACGAACGTATGGTTACAATGTTGTTTATTGTATCAAGAAATCGAAACATTTTCGTAAAGAATATGATTTGTTTAATTTTTTAAAAAAGGCTTTGAATTTCATTTCATAATTTAGAATTTTTTTAATGGTTGTAAGCTTCTTTAGAAGGAAATTATTTTCACATGGAAAATCTCACACAATTTAAGTCAACAAATTATTTTAAAATTATTATGTTAATGCAATTTCTTCGCTACTTTGTTTACAATTTTCAGCATTGCGGCTTTTGATTTTGTGCGTCTCATTTAACGCAATTTTTTTTCCAGCAATTCTTTTTTGCCATACCGTTGCAGATAGACAAAACGTCAGAACAATACCGAAAATTATTATAGAATACAATGCATCTAAATTTGAGTAACAATACGGTTCAGGCGTTTCGAATTTATTATAACAGCTCACGATATTCACGGATTTCAAAAAAAAATTACATGATTTTTTTCATTGACACAATTGATTCCTATGTAATGCCTTCCTTACAGGCACGTGTAATAATTTTTAAAAAATATTCTTTAAATGTGAAAGATTGTCTGCACATGTACGCATTACGTATATTTCATATATTTTATTAACTAATCCGTTCTTTGAAAAATCTGGTGTTCTTATTTACTTTGCGGTAATATCTCATAGGTTATTTATGCATATTCAAGAGTGAATTTGAAAATTATTCCATAAATCTTGAAAAATTTATAAATAATTCTCCTCGCTTCTTTACAACTCAATGCTGCTCTATTTTCACATAATATAGCGAAAAATATTATATTTTATACTTCAAACTTGATCTTCATAAAAGATGAAAATATTGAACGAAAAGTTATTTTAATGAAAAATATTACGAAAGTTATTTGTAGTCTGCGGCAATTACTTTAATTATTCAATCTTCATCAATGATTTGTTGATGAATTAGTTCTATTCAGAAAGATTAATTAATTTTTTTTTTCACTGAGATGTGAAATCACTCGTTCATTTTAATGTGTACACAAATAAAAGTGCATTTATGATCGCTCTAATTTGAGATCACGTATAGGATGGATTGCAGGTCATCAAAAAAAAAACGCATTTAATTGCAGTTGTTGTAAAGAATTAATACAAAAATTATTTTTGAGAACTGCTGTTTATCGAATGATTGCCGCTAAATATAAGGTTCTGAAGTAGGCTTTCCCGATTTACCGGTCATAGGTTTTTCGTGATCGAAATCAAAAATGTTCAAAACTCGTACTTTACGGTTTCAAAATTTTTGAAATAAATTTAATTTTAAATTGCATAAAATCGGAAATTTTGTTTCAAAACTCAAATTTTTTGATTGCCTTAATTTAGGAACAAACCTTTGCAATAGCTAAAGATGTTGACCTGTAGAATAAAATAAAATAAATCTTATAATAATGCCTGATGTCCACACACAAAAGAAATATGACCAAGAAGCTAGACGACAAAATTCTTAAGCCAATACTTCTATTTTTGATAAGTTTTTTTTTGTCATTTTAGTCACGAACAAATTTTTCTTCCTCTTAATAATAAGCAATATATTATTCAATACTTAACAAACGACTCAAGTTTAATAATTTGACAAACCGCGAGCAAAATGCCTCAACGTTCTACAGCAAAAAGTTAAACAGAGCTAAAAAAATTGAGACTCATTAAGCTTCTGTATAATTTTTGAATGTGAAAATTAAATTAATTTAATCTGCAAATAAAATATTTGCCAATTATTCATCTCTGACAAGTACATGGAATCGTAAAAATGATGGAAAATTTAATATTTTGATGCCATTTATTATTGCAATTTTTATTATCCTCTCAAAAAAAAGCATCATTTAATGTATGACGTAATTTTATGATTCAACATACTATGCAAACTGCATAAAATATCATGAAAAAAATTGATGTTTTTATGACACAAACGGTGATGAATTTTAACAAAAACGAAGTGTAAGTGGTGTTTATGACAATTTTACAGTATAGAACAGATAAAGTGAGAGAGGGCGAGAATTCTAGTTTTATGATCAAACACATAAATTTATGAATAGAACTGCTGTCGAACAGTTTTAAGTCATAAAACTGATATAATGGATAGATCATCATAAGGCATAAAAACCTTTGATAAACTTTTTTTTGTCACGTTCTCGATGAACGATTGAGGGTTGATGAATGACATGTAGAGACTCAAAGATTCTCTTTTTCATGTTCAACGAAAAATATTTTAATGAAAATGTTCACTTTTAACGCTTCCAATCATAACAGAATCTACGTTTCGGCATTCCATGTGCTTCTGGTAATAATTAAGATTTTTTTTGTCTTTGTCAATGTGGAATGTTTGAATGTTCTCATGTATTTGCGTATTAAAAATATGTGACTTGACATTCTATAGAACATCAAATGTGGTTGAAATCAAGGAACTTAAAATTTCAAAAATAACCGTTGCATTTTGACTTTTTCAGTTAAAAATTTGTGTTCAAAATATTGTTAAATCAATCCACAAGCCAACCATGTCCTTGTCATACTCATTACATTGACAGAATATGACAAAAAAGAAATCAAAATCATTGAAAATTAAAATGCAACATGATACATGTCTGATGGATGAGCAAAAAAAAAAATGTTAATTATTATCTAAACATTTTGAATGTTCTATTTTTTCAAGCATCTGTTCTTCAAAGTGTATAATAGAGATATTTGAATTAACACCATAAATTTTCATTTCACGTAATTATACGTAGCAGTTCAAACAACATAACACACAAAAAAAAAATTCAACTTTTAATTCATCATGTGATAGAAAGAAAGGGACATGCAAGGGACACTACAACAATAGGCAAACCAAACAATAAATTATTAACAGAAAAAAATACTGTCCCTCTATTCCGTCCGTGGCTATTGAATGGTAAATGGTGAAGTGCAAAAAAGAGGAATT